TACCATGATAGCTACAGCTAGGGCTGTTATACAGAGAAATCCTGTCTCAAAAAATTAAACCAGTTGGAGAGTAGGGAGAGGTCTTCCAACCAAAAAAGAAAAAGAAAAAATCCCACGGACAGGTTTTAGTGGAGAATTCTACTAGAATTTCAAAGAAGAGTTACTGCTAATACTCCTCAAATTATTTCACAAAATAGAAACAGAAGACGTATACAGATGCTCTGATAGAAAAACTACATAAAGACCCAATGAAGAAAGAGAATTACAGACCAATTGTCCTTATGAACATAGAAGCAAAATATTCTCAACAAAATACTTGCAAAATAAATTCAAGAACCCATCAAAATGACAATCCACCATGATCAAGTAGGTTTCAAGCCATAGAGGCAGGAAGGGTTCAGCATGCATAAATCAATAAATTTAATCCGTCATATAAACAAACTGAAAGACAAAACCACATGATCATCTCATTCAGGATAGAAGAGCATTTGGCAAAATACAAAGCCCTTTCATGAGAAAAGTCTTGGAGAAATTAGGGTTACAAGAGACTTACCTTGTAGCAAACCCATAGCCAACATCAATTAAAACTGGAAAGAAACACAATGCAATTCCACTAAAGTCAGGAATAAGACAAGGCTGTCCACACTCTCCAGACCTATTATTTATAGTACTTGGAGTCTTAGCTAGATCAATAGGACAGCTGAAGGAGACCAGTGGGATTCAAGTCAGGAGGAAAAAGTAGAAACTTTGTATTTACAGATGATATGATGGTAAGCATAAATGATGCTAAAAATCCCTCCAGGATAAACACTTTCAGTAAAGCAGCTGGATACAAATTAAGTCACAAAAATCAGTTACACACTTGTATACAAATGACAAACAGACTGAGAAAGAAACCAGGGAAATAACACCTTTTACAATCATATCAAATAATATAAAATATCTTGGGGGTAACTCTAACCAAGTGAAAGATTTGTATGATAAAAGCTTCAAGCTGTTGATGAAGATATTAGAAGACAGAAAGATCTCTCACGCCCATAAATTAGTAGAATCAACATAGAAAAAATGGCCATTTACCAAAAGCATAAAAGATAATTCACTGAAATTCCCACCAATATTCCAAACAGCATCTTCAGCAATTGGTGTTGCTCAGATTCTATGTCTGCATGTAGAAGGATGTAAATAGAACCATAGTTATGCATCCCTGCTAAAAACTCAACTCCAAATGGATCAAAGACCTCAACATAAAACCAGATATGCTGAACCTGATAGAAGAGAAAATGGGAAATAGCCTTGAACACATTGGTACATGAGAAGATTTTTTAGACCAGAACATCATTAGCACAGACACTAAGCTCAACAGTTAATGAACGGGATCTCATGAAACTGAAAATCTTCTGCATGGATAAGGACACTGTCATTTGGACAAAGCAGCAGCCTATGGAGTAAGAAAAGGTTTTTACCTGCTATGCATCCAATCAAGGGCTAATATCCAAAAATATATAGAGAACTCAAAAAACCCTGAATATCCAGAAAATAGTAACCTGATGCAAAAAATGGGGTACATATCTAAACAGAGAATGCTCAATAGAGCAAACTCAGATGGTGGAAACTCTATAAGAAATATCTGACATTTTTAGCTATTATGGAAATTCAAATCAAAACTACTTTGAGATTTTATCTTATGTCTTTCAGAATGGCTAAGACTAACTAAAGAAGTGACAGCTCATGCTGACCAGGATGTGGAGTACGTGGAACATTCATCCATTGCTTGTGGGAGGGCAAATTTGTACAGCCACTATGGAAATAAGTGTGGCATTTCCTCAGGAAGATGGGAATTGATCTACCTCAAGACCCAGCCATACCACTCTTGGGCATATACCCAAAGAACACTTCATCCTACCACAGAGACATTTGTTCAGCTATGGAATTGCCATAATGGGGGAGACAGAGTCCCAACTGGCCACTTGTCACCAAAGAGGCTGCCAGTACCAAGATTGGGGTACATCTGAGTTGTTGACCAAAGAATCTCCGTTGGAATCTCTAAACAATGCAGGCTGTTGCTAAGGTTATAGGTTGTTGTCCACAAATGATGGGAAGGTCCCATTACTGAAGACAACACCAACACAGCTCATTGAACATGGAGAGGTTGAGCTGGCGCCCACATAGAGCCTTCACCTCTATGTTCAGGATCTTTTGTGCAGGAAGGTATTCTTCACATTACCAAAAGAGAAACTTGAACACCGAGCCAGCCACAAACCCTTTGATCTGCAACGGTGTCCTGCCTACAAGATATGCTAGGGCAATGGTTGCACAAAGCTTGCGTGAGTAACCAGCCAATGAGTGATTTTGATTTAACGCACACTCTGCAAGATGGAACCTATACCCGACACCGCTTGGGTGACCAAGAACCAGAGACTGCATTGCCCAGGGACCTATGGGAAAACCAAATACTACTGTTCTGAAAGAAGAAGAAAAGGAGGAAAAGAGGAAGACATAAAAAGACTCCTAGTGACATTCTGCTACACTCAAAGATCAGCCCCCTGCTCAGTCACCAGAGAAATTTCCTCCTGCCACAGATGGGAGCAAATACAGAGACTCACGGCCAGAAAATATGCAGAAAATGAGAGACCTTGGAACACTTAGTCCTAAATGGTGTGTCTCCATCGAATCCTTCCTGTCAGAGCTGGGAAAGACTGAAAGAAGCAGAGGTCATGAAGGACACCAAGAACACAAGGCCCTCTAAATCAATATGATCAAAGCCCACATACACCCAGCCACTGGAAAAGCATTATAAGATTCCTTAGAGTGCGAAAGAGTGGGTCTATATTCTTGTGCTTCTCTTGGGGTCTTTTCTCTCCATTGACTTGTCCTCTCCAGCTTTGATATTATACACTTTGCTCTAAGAGGGTTGAGAACACATTTTTACTTTTTGGTGTGCACGTTTGTATGTTTGTTGGGTGTGTATGCTTGCGTGTCTGTCTCGTATGTGGAGACACATGTGCATATGTATGTGCAAGCAGATGGGTTGGTGTTCTCCTCCATCACTTCCTACTTTTATTGGTTGAGATTGGGTTTCCCAGTTGGACCCAGACCGTGCAGTGGGCTGGTCTAGCTAGCTAGCTTGGTTGGAGGATCACTGGTCTCTGACTCCCAAGTACTACGATGACAGCTAACTGGCATCTGCCTGGCCATCGTTGTAGGGATGTGAATTGGTTTTCATGCTTGCTGGGCAAGTGCTTTCTCCAGCAGGCCTTCTACCCTTCTTCAGTATAAAGTGCATTCATAGGTTGGGGGATGTTGCTCAGTGGTAGAATGCTTGTCTAGCAGGAGTGAGTGAGGGCCTAGTTTAAACTCCTCGTACAGGAAAAAAAAAGTCATCAATCAATTAATCAATTATTCCTTTTCTTTATTTTTTTCATTTCTCTTTATTCCTTTATTGAGATTCTTTTGAATCCTTCTTAACGAGGCCTTAGAATGGTTCAGAAGAGCTCTTCTTCTCACTAGAACTCCTGGTGATTTGTTCTAGTCTCTGCTTCCTCATCTGTAAAATGGGGGCACAACACTAACCTGCTCTATTTGGTGTGGTTACACAGAACAAAGCAATCTGAGTCATTTATATAGAAAAGCGGTATTTCTCACAGTTCTCGAGACGGTGGAGCTTAAGGTGGGAGGGCCGCATTTGGTGAGAGCGCCTTCTTCCTGTGCCAACCCGAATCTGAAAGCAGAAGGGCTAACTGCGCGTGCACGAGAGCAAGAGTTGCTTTCGCAGTGCCAGACCCTCGGGCTACAAACATTAATCTGCTCACGACCCTGTGAAACCTCACATCCTAAACACCCCGTCTCTCAACACCATTGCACTGGGGATTAAGTTTCCAATCTAGTTTTCTGGGGGACACAGTCAAACCACACAGCAGGCATACTCTGTAGTATTGAGAGGATTAGAGACGAAACATATTTGCGAAATGTCACCGTCTGTAATTGCAGGTCTCTTCAAATGGTAGCTATTAACGGAAACACATCTGCTCTCGGACAATTAGTCACAGCCAACTGCCAGCCTACCCATACCTCTCTGGGAAATTTAGAACAAAAGGGGGTCTAGGATTCAGAGCAGGAACAGCCATCTAGTACACTTTCTATGTATTGCTGACAATGGGCTTTACTTATATCCTGCAAAGTACGGGCAAGAGGTGTGCTTCTGACCTGCCGGTAAGTATTTCCTTCCCCTGTCTGATTCAGCTGTTCTCAAGTCAACCTTTTATTGTTCTTATTAACATCCTGAAAACCTCGTTAGCAATAGTGATAAGAAGCACACCACGCGCCAAGCACTTTGGGACAGAGGGACAGAAATGGATTTAAAATTTCAATGATCTTGTGAGGTGGCGAACTTCATCACCTGAATATTTAACACGAGCCCTTTAGGGTGGACCCAACAGTGGGAAGGGCCTTGGTACTAGGCCAGCGGAGGGAGCACACAGGGCAAGTGGGCAAGTGTATCCCCTCGTTTACGGGCACATGATCGAGAGTTACGTCTAGGAGAGAAACTTGCAGAGGCGGAGAATGAATCGGGCGTCGTCCTGTTTCCCTCCTGCTTGTAAAACACGTGGTGCGGAGCCCGCCGGGCTGGTGACCCCACTCCACTTTCAAAGTCTGTAGAACTTCCGATCCGAAAAACTGAGTTCCACTCTCTCAGCCCCGGTCAATGAAGCCTTTACAAAGAGGGGCGGGGCCTCCGGGAAACTGACCGGGGAGGGGAGGGAGGGCGGGGGCGAGCCAAACCTCCAGAGTCGCTGATTGGCTGGCACGAATGTCTGTTTCCTCCTCCCTCCGCCCCCTCTCCGGGCAGCCGAGTCACGGGAGGCGGGTCGCTCGACGCCGGCCGTAGAGCCAAACCGGCAGGGGGGGGCGTGCTCTGGGGGGCGTGCCGGGGTGCGCCCCGCCCCCTGCCTACATCCCCGCCCCCATCCCCGCCTCCGCCCCGCCCCCGGCCCGGCGCGGCTGCCTCCTCTGCGCCGCGTCCCCCGGCCGCCTCAGTCCTCGCGGCGCGCCGTTGCCTCGCCGTCGGAGACCGCCCCGCGCCCGCAGCCCGTTCCCGGCGCCGGCGCCGCTGTCGGCGGCCAGCGCTCCGCACAGGCTCGCCCGCCGCGTGCCCGTCTTGGCCGCGGCCCTCCCAGGGTCCCTGGGGCGGGACCATGGAGGCGGACGGGGCCGGCGAGCAGATGAGACCGCTACTCACGCGGGTAAGGAGCGGGGAGGCCGAGGCCCGCAGACAAAGGCGGCGGCGCGGCGGGGGCTGGCGGGGGCTGGCGGCGGCCTCCGCGCGCCGCCGCCGGCCTTTGTGTGGCTCGTGGGGATCGCGGGGGGCGGCCGGCCCGGAGCCCTCCGGCGGACAGCTCTCCCGAGGACGCGCGTGCCCGCCGGTCTGCTCGCAGCCTCGCGGCGCCGTCTTCTCCTGCCGCGTGGACGCCGCCGTCCTCCGGCCCCGGCGGCTGCTCTTCCTGCGCCCGCCGCGCGGCAGCCTCCGGTCGGACCGTCGGTGCCAGCGCTCGGTGGAGTGTTGGGTCGCAGGCCCGGGAGAAGGACCGTGTGCCAGGTCCTCCCCCGGGCCCCATAGCAAGAGAGAGGACCGCGCCACCAGCCCAGCAGACCCCGCTGTCCCAGTGACACGAGCCAGCAGCTTTGGCAGGGGTGGGCTTGCAGAAGTGAGGTTCTTATTTAGACGGGGACAAGTGGCCCTTTCTCAAGAGACGGGGGAGCATCTGTGCCCCCCCCCCCACGACAGACTGTCTTCTTTCGTAGGCTATGACTCAAAGGATGGGGTGGTATTAATTTTCCTACTTGCAGTTTTTACTCTGACCAGCAAAAGCGGAGGGGAAGTTGCAGGGATAGATTTTTTTTTCCAGTCTTTTCACAGCAAGGAAAACAACTTTTCACTTCATTTTTTTCCCAATTAGAATTTTCTTAAGGTTCCCCTTTCCCACGTTACGTATTGTGGAGGCCACAGGCGGTAGTCATTCATTACTTCACCATATTCAAATATAAGTTCTTTAAATATAAAAGGGAACTTGCGTTTTAAGGCAGCGAGTTCGTCAGGCAGTGTTTATGGGTATGATGGGTCACAGTGATGGCGTCCTGGCAACTCTTGAGGATCTTTTTATGGTCTTTTAAAGAAAGTTAGACGGCACCTTCTCCAAGAGGACCTGTCAAATATACTGTTGCTTGTTCTTAACCTTATTTGCACGTTTTCAGCTGAACAGTAAACAGTACCCGTTTTCAGAAACTCTGTAAGCAGGGGTGGTACATCCGTAATAAGGCCATTGTGGTTCATTCATTCCGTGCAGTAGCATCCTAAGAGACTGTTCTGTGGAGTCCAGAGTGGAACCAGCTTTTTCCTGATAGAAGCTTCATTCAAGGAAGTGTGGGTGTGTCTCCAAGGGAGGCCGGGACAGGGGACAGCAGATGGCAATGAACTCACTTCTGGCATTAGTGGCTTGATAGGAGAGTGTTTTGGAAAGTCATACTCCCTAAGTCTTTGGTAGAATAAAACGACAATAATACATTTACAGAAATTAATCATAGAAAGAAGTTTCTGCAAGCTTCCAGTCCAGAAGAAGCAGTGAAAATGGGTTGACATAGTGGAAGGCTCTCTGATTTTTAAGAAGTTGGACACTTCGAAACTTAGAGCATCCCGTGCTCACTATACTTTGATAAGTAAAAGTCATAAAAATGAAATACTCTGGCGGTTGTCAGTTAAAACATTTTCTTCCCTTTTTTTTTCTTTTTTTGAAACAGGGTCTCACATTTTCCCTCAGGCAGGCCTCAAGTTTGCTCCCATCCTTCTGTCTCAGCCACACTAGTGCTATGCTTACAGGCCTTACCTACCAAGCCTCACTCTCAGTTCTAACATTCAGCTCACAGCAGACTGTTCTGCCTAGCCAGAATAGACTAAATCAAGCCGGGCTTGGTGGTACACACCTTTAATCCCTACACACGGAGGCAGACTTCTGTGAGTTCAAGGCCGGCCTGGTCTACAAGAGCTACAAGAGCTAGTTCCTGGATAGCTAGGGCTGTTACACAGAGAAACCCTGTCTTGAAAAGCCAAAAACAATAACAACAACAACAAAAACCAAACAAAAAAAAAAAGAAAAATGAAAAAATAGACTAAAATTCATAACTTACATACCTCCTTAAGTTTATAATTATGCAGAATTTGAGTTGCCATTAGGTTGATGGCTATTTATATTACTGTGAAGATGGGGCCAATCCCTTCCATAATTTAGTATCTAAGGTTTCTTCTAGGATTAGGATTTTCACTGATCATAGTTTTGGAGGGAAAATTCTTACTTCGCTTTATCTCTTGTTTGAGAGATTGAACTGGGTGAGGGAAAGCTCTCAGGAGCTAGCCTGTGCCACCAAGTCTGACTGCAACTTTTGTTTCTCTTTAGTGAAAATGTTTCCACTGTGGGTATCACTTAGAGTTTATAAGTCTTATTTTTCAGGGTAGAGTAAGTAGTTGTCAGTCATCTTTCCTAGTGTAGGCTGTAACAATAATGCTGTTCCTCTAGTTTTAGCAGATAAGCTTTCTTTTGAGAATTTTGGGAACATCCCATGAAAGGTTGCTTCTATGATTTCTCTCGTTTTTAGACTTTGACTCAGCTGTTACAACTCTAGGTATAGCTCTAGCTCTCCTGGAACTCACTTTGTATACCAGGCTGGCCTCAAACTTACTGAGATCCATCTGCCTCTGCTGCCCAACTGCTGGGATTGCACCACCATCCACCTGACTGGCTTTTTTTTTTTTTTTTTTTTTTTTAGGAAAGGTTCCCTGTTCATTTGAGGCTGATCATATAGCCAGAACTGGCCTCAAAGTGCAGTAACTTTCGGTCTCGGTCTCAACTGCTGTGATTATAGGCATGTTTCCCCTCTCCCAACTTCGTAGGTGTTAAGTGTCTCATGGATACTGGGTACTGGGAAAATAGACAAGCAAGGTAGATAGTCCTGACTTCAGTGAGTCTAGTTTGGCATATTGGGAGAACATAGTGATAACCTTTATATTTCATTTGTGAATGGCAGTTAAAACATTTCATAGTTCTGTTAGAAATAGTTCTTGAAAATAGGTATTCTGCTAAAGGGAGTAAGACTCAAGTAACCGAGCTTTTGTGAGTCTGTAAACAGCCTCATTTGGGGAACTGGGTTGCCACCGACAGCTTTTAGGTATATGGTAATGGTATCTTGCATATTACCAGAACTCTGTTAACCTTTCTGGCTTATTTTTGATAATTGGAGACTAGTTCATGGGTTTGTAACTGTAAAGGGAGACACCTGTCATCTGTCCAAGTGAAACTAGGCTTGGATTGGAGGACTGTTGTATCTGAGTCTGAGACCAGGTGATGGCTGCTTTAAGAGAGGAGCCAACACAGAGTTTCCCTTTTTTTTTTTTTTTTTTTTTTCCCCGAGACAGGGTTTCTCTATGGTTTTGGAGCTTGTCCTGGGAACTAGCCTGGGAACCAGGCTGGTCTTGAACTCACAGAGATCCACCTTCCTCTGCCTACCGAGTGCTGGGATTAAAGGCGTGAGCCACCACCGCCTGGCATCAGTTTCTTTTGATTGTGGAAAGGATATGAGAATTAGCATGGTCTTATACTAAACTCATACTAGTTGAGTAGGTTGAAATGGAAAACCAAAGTACCCTGGCATTGGAGGAACCTAGTATAACATTTTAGTGGCATGTGGTGTGCTAGCCCATATATATTTAAACTTTGGTAGTTGCTTGTCAACATCCTGTAATGGGTTGTTTTTCTTCCTCTTTCTCTCTTCTTTCTTTCTCTGTCTTACCACAGACGAGATCTCAAAGCGGATAGGATTCACAGCTACTCAAAGTGCCGTTTATGTAAAGTTGCATATGAGTTGTTTACAAGGGTAATGTTATGGGTTAGTTATAGATCTACATAGTTTAAACATTCTTTTTATGTGTGTGTTAGAAAGAGAGAGAGAGAGAGAGAGAGAGAGAGAGAGAGAGAGAGAGAGAGAATGAAAGGACAAGAACACGTAGAGATCAGTGCTCCATACAGTTGGGATAAGAATAGACACAATTTTACCCTCCTGCAGTTACCATTCTTGTGTGCGTTCAGTAGTTTTCAATTTTGAAGTAGCATGTATCAATACGAAAATTATTATAATTTTTACCAACAATAAAATATGTACCTTTTTTTACCAGAGAGTATCAAATATTTCTGTTGAGATATAATGATCTGGAAAAGTTTAAGAGTCATGTTTTTGATGGTGCTAACCCACCAAGGAGGTCTGGGATTGGCATTGTGAGATTGTGAGACAGGCCGCAGCAGTGCTGGAGGCTGGATGACTGAAGAAGTGCTAGGTTGGCCTGTGATTGCCATAGCAAGAGTGGATTAGGAAATTATGTGCTTATGATATAGATTTACATTTTATCAGGAGCCGATACTGTTTGAATGTTAATGCATTTAATGTAGCACCTTTTTCTTTACCCCTACAGTATAAGTGTATAAATTATAGTAGATTTTGACAAAGTGCCTTAGTGTTTTAAATACACTATTCTTTCTTGTGCAGAGTGTGTGATGTGAACTAATGCCTTTGCTTCCCATTCTGTCCATGTCTTTGTGGAGATCTTCCTCTGCCTATAGATTCCAAGATTGTTCTTCAAGGCTGCCCAGTTTGAGAAGCTGTTGATTGTATATCATATTTGATGAGGAACTTAGGATGTATCTTTGTAAGTAGAGTCACGGAAAAATGCATAGTTCAGTTAAAAACTGTAAAGAGTGAAACAAAACAGAAAAGGTAGAGTCACACTTGTGATATGCACATTTGATTCGGAAGGAGCGTGGAATGGTTTCCAAAGCAAGAATGAGTAAAGGGAAGGGTGATAGAAATTCTTCCTTTACAGCTTTCTATAACATAATTAATAACTTGGTGTGCATGTGCTTTGTACTTTTATATACATGATTTGCCCTACATAATAATATTTATTTAAGAAAATTCTTTTGGAACAAGTCTTACTGTATAGTCCAGGATTGCTTGATACTTTTCAGCTCAGGTTGGCCTTGAAATTTTTGTCCCCTTCCACCTCTTGCCTTCACAGTGCTTGTGTTACAAGTGTGTGCCAGTACCCTAACTTACTGGAATTCTTAATTTTGGGAATAAATAAAAGTATACAGGATCTCTTTTGCTTTAAAAATTAATGTACTCAACAAGAAAATAAATCAGG